CACTCTGCAAATGTCCAGGCCTGCAGATCTTTCGGTGGAAATTCCGCAGCCTTCGGCGCAATCCTGCCTGGCTACACGTCGAAGAGGAACGGTGTGGGGGGTCAACTCGTGGGGGGGGGCCTTGAGCCTGGACTCGGCGACAGATCGCCGATGCAATGGCGATAGGCCCCCGATGTTGGGCGTGGCTTAATGGGGGGGTCACAAATGGGGGGGTCAGAAAAGATCCCTTTTCGTGCCCCTTTCGGGCCCCTCCAGAGCCCCAGGGGGCTCGTTTAGGTACCGTTTGGGTGCCTTTTCGGACCACACTCGCCACCCCCCCATTTATGACCCCCCAATTACGCGGCGCCCAGCAATGGTGAATCCACACCTTCCCGGGGGGGCTGGGGATGCCTGGCCCCCACGGACCATGGGTGGGCGAGCGGAGGTCGCTGCGTCCCCCCTGAACCTACCTCCCCGGAGCTGCCGCTGCCACTTGCCTTAAGTCGGGCCTGTCCCCCTCCAGGGGGATTTCCGACGAAAAAATACTCAAGACATGCTCCAAAATTATAAAAAATGCAACAATTATCCTGCGACGCACCCAACCCTTTCTGCACAAGTGGCAATTGCATTCAGGACCACTCAATACCGAAGGACATTTCGGCGCCATGGTATAGTGGCGATCTGCATAGGACGTACCTCCGCTGAGCCTCCCAGAAGCCCATGCGCGCCAGGTGATCCAAGCGCGCCAGGCGCGCCGGGTGCGCCAGTTGCGCCAGGTGCGCCAGGTGTGCGCCAGGTGCGCCTAAAGCGCCAGGTGCGCCAGGTGCGCCAGGTGCGCCAGGTGCGCAAGGTGCGCCAGGCGCGCCAGGCGCGCCAGGCGCGCCAGGTGCGCCAGACGCGCCAGGTGCGCCAAGTGCGCCAAGTGTGCGCCGGGTGTGCGCCAGGTGTGCGCCCGGTGTGCCAGGTGCGCCAAGTGCGCCCAGCGCGCCAAGTGCCAAGTGTGCCAGCTGCGCCAGGCGCGCCAGGCGCGCCAGGTGCGCCAGGTGCGCCAGTGGCGCCAGGCAAGCCAGGTGCGCCAGGTGCGCCAGGTGCGCCAGGCGCGCCAGGCGCGCCAGGTGCGCCAGGTGCGCCAGGCGCGCCAAGTGAGCCAGGTTCGCCAGGTGTGCGCCAGCGCCAGGTGCGCCTAGCGCGCCAGGTGCGCCAGGTGCGCCAGGTGTCCAGGTGTGCCAGGTGAGCCAGGTGCGCCAGATGCGCAAGGTGCGCCAGGTGCGCCAGGTGTGCGCCAGGTGCGCGCCACGCGCGCCAGGTGTGCCAAGTGCGCCAGTTGCGCCCAGCGTGCCAAGTGCGTCAGGTGCGCCCAGCGTGCCAGGTGCACCAGGTGCGCGCCAGGTGCTCCCAGCGCGCCAGATGCGCCAGGTGCGCCAGGTGCGCGTCAGGTGCGCGCCAAGTGCGCGCCAGGTGCGCGCCAGGCGCGCGCCAGGTGCGCCAGGTGCGCCAGGTGGCCAGTTGCGCCAGGCGCGCCAATTGAGCCAGGTGCGCCCTGTGCGCCAGGTGCGACAGGGGCGCCTGCGCCAGGCGCGCCAGGTGCGACAGGTGCGCCAAGTCTGCGTTAGGTGTGGCAGGTGCGCCAGGTGCGCCCAGCGCGCCAGGTGCGCCAGGTGCGCCAGGCGCGCACGGCGCGCCAGTTGCGCCAGGCGCGCCAGGTGCGCCAGGTGCGCCAGGTGCGCCAGGTGCGCCAAGTGCGCCAGGTGCGCCAGGTGCGCTAGGTGCGCCAGGTGCGCCGGGCGCGCCAGGCGCGCCAGGCGCGTCAGGCGCGCCAGGTGCGCCAAGTGTGCGCTGGGTGTGCGCCACGTGTGCGCCCGGTGTGCCAGGTGCGCCAGGTGCGCCCAGCGCGCCAGGTGTGCCAGGTGCGCCAGCTGCGCCAGGTGCGCCAGGCGCGCCAGGCGCGCCACGTGCGCCAGGTGGCGCCAGTGGCGCCAGGTGCGCCAGGTGCGCCAGGCGCGCCAGGCGCGCCAGGCGCGCCAGGCGCGCCAGTTGCGCCATGTGCGCCAGGCGCGCCAAGTGAGCCAGGTTTGCCAGGTGTTCGCCAGGTGTGCGCCGAGTGCGCCTAGCGCGCCAGGTGCGCCATGTGCGCCAGGTGTCCAAGTGCGCCAGGTGCGCCAGATGCGCCAGATGCGCCAGGTGCGCCAGGTGCGCCAGGTGTGCGCCTGGTGCGCGCCACGCGCGCCAGGTGCGCCAGTTGCGCCCAGCGTGCCAGGTGCGTCAGGTGCGCCCAGCGTGCCAGGTGCACCAGGTGCGCGCCATGTGCTCCAGCGCGCCAGGTGCGCCAGGCGCGCCCAGCGCGTCAGGTGCGCGCCAAGTGCGCGCCAGGTGCGCGCCAGGCGCGCGCCAGGTGCGCCAGTTGCGCCAGGTGCGCCAGTTGCGCCAGGCGCCAATTGAGCCAGGTGCGCCATGTGCGCCAGGTGCGCCAGGGGCGCCAGGTGCTCCAGGTGCGCCAGGTGTGACAGGTGCGCCAGGTCTGCGCTAGATGTGGCAGGTGCGCCAAGTGCGCCCAGCGCGCCAGGTGCGCCAGGTGTGCGCCAGGTGCGCGCCAGGTGTGCGCCAGGTGGGCGCCAGTTGCACCAGGCGCGCCAGGCGCGCCAGGTGCGGCAGGTGCGGCAGGTGTGGCAGGTGCGTCAGGTGCGCCCAGCGCGCCAGGTGCGCGCCAGGTGCGCCCAGCGTGTCAGGTGCGCCAGGTGCGCGCCAGGTGCGCGCCAGGTGCGCGCCAGGTGCGCCAGGTGCGACAGGTGCGCCAGGTGCGCCAGGTGCGTCAGGTGCGCGCCAGGTGCGCGCCAGGTGCGCGTCAGGTGCGTCAGGTGCGTCAGGTGCGCCCAGCGCGCCAAGTGCGCGCCATGTGCGCCAGGTGCGCGCCAGGTGCGCCCAAGGGACAGGGAGGCCTCAAAATGGTCTGCGTAAAACGACGTACCTCCGCTGGGCCTCCCAGGAACCCACGACAGTGGCGACAGTTGCGCAGATCGCAGACCCGCAGGGGACAGGGAGACCTCAAAGTGGTCTGCGTAAGACGTACCTCCGCTGGGCCTCCCAGGAACCCACGAAAGTGGCGACAGTTGCGCAGATCGCAGCCCCGCAGGGGGCAGGGAGGCTTCAAAGTGGCCTGCGTAAAACGTACCTCCGCTGGGCCTCCCGGGAACCCACGAAAGTGGTGACAGTTGCGCAGATCGCAGCCCCCCCGGGGGACAGGGAGGCCTCAAAGTGGTCTGCGTAAGACGTGCCTCCGCTGGGCCTCCCAGGAACCCACGAGAGTGGCGACAGTTGCGCAGATCGCAGCCCCGCAGGGGACAGGGATGCCTCACAGTGGTCTGTAAGACGTACCTCCGCTGGGCCTCCCGGGAGCCCACGAAGTGGGGACAGTTGCGCAGATCGCAGCCCCGCAGGGCACCGCGAACACAGGAGAGAAGAAGGAGGAGAGGGCGGGAGGTGGATACCACAGTGCTCTATTCAAAACGAGTACCCGACACAAGGAGGGTTGGGAAATAGTCTCAGACTATTTTGTCGACTACTTTTGCAGGTTCCTCCTGCAGGGGGACGGGCCCGACTCAACACTTGCCTGGGAAACTGCTCTTCTTCATCCTGGCCGTCATCATCTCTGAATGAGCTCCCAGGGGCCCTTCCAGGACACCACCACGACTCGCTCTTCAAGCGGCCTTCCAGTCCCGGCGACGCGTGCACCCCCCCCGTCGAGAGCTGGGGAGCGTCTTCCCTGCAGCAGTGCAGGCGCAACCACACAAAGGGGCTCCTTGCACGCGACCTGGGGGCACAAACTCCCCCAAACTCTCGGCGACCACCGACCGTCGCAAGAGAAGCTGAGGGGGGAACGATCCGGGAAATCTGCCAGAGCAGGCAGAGGGGGAGAGACAGGGGGAATGGCTCAGGGGGGTGGAGCATTGAGGTGGAATCCGCGATACATGGCCAACATATCGGCGATGACCTCCGATTGCAAATCTGCACGTGCCTGGGCAGGGTGGGCTATCGGGCCCCTATCGGCGATCAGTGGGCGCTTCGGGATCCGTGCGTTCACCCCTGAGCCCATCCCCACTGACGTTGCCCCTGACGAGAGTCCACAGTATACACACATCATACGATGAGAAATCTCGGTATGAGAGATTGAAGGGCACCTCTCTACGGCCTCTGTGCGGGCCCCCAGGGCCATCGGGGGATGAGGCATCTCTGCGGGGCACCTGCTCGCAGGCCGGTCTCTGATTTGCTGCCGCGCGCCCCCCCCGTCAGGACGTGCAGGGGCCGCCGCCCCCCGGCGGCAGGGGAGCGTGCAGCCGAGGGGCCGCCCCCGTCGGGGACGTGCATGGAGGCCGCCTAGATGGGGTCGGAGCCGATGGGGTCGGAGGATCTCGCCGCATCGCCGACACATCGGCGATGCATCGCCGATGCATCGGCGGCGATGCGCCAGCCGTGCACTGGCGACGTCAGCGCTGCATCGGCGACGTCGGCGTGGAGAACTCTGGGCCCCGCAGTGCGCAGCACCGCCGATGCACCGCCGATGCATCGGCGACGCGGCGCGGCCCTCCGACCCCATCGGCTCCGACCCCATCCAGGAGGCCTACCCAGAGATCCGATGTCGCGATTTTTTCAATACGGGGTCCCCGGAAGTCTCGACCCATTCCCCAGGACCAGGTTTTTCGTCCCGAGTCGTTTGGGCCTCTCACTTGAGGAGGGGGAGGAGGAGGAGGAGGAGGAGGAGGAGGAGGAGGAGGAGGAGAAGGAGGAGGGGGAGGAGGAGGAGGGGAGAGGAGGAGGAGGAGGAGGAGGAGGAGGAGGAGGAGGAGGAGGAGGAGGAGGCGGAGGAGCAGGAGGAGGAGGAGGAGGAGGAGGAGGGCTGGCGGATCGCGCAGGGGCGCTCCGGGGAGCGCGCAGCGCCCGCCCCCTCGCGGGGCAGCTTCGCGGCCCCCCCTCGGCGCCTCGGGGGCGCGGCGGCCCCGCCGTTGTGTGCGGGCGCCGCGCGGGCGGGGCAGGGCTTGCCCGGCGGCCGGCCGCGTAGGCAGCCAGGAGCTTCCAGAAGGATAAGGAGGAGGATAAGGAGGATAAGGAGGAGGAGGGGGAGGAGGATAACGAGGACGAGTTCATTTTATACCGTTCTTCGCCCGTTAAGTTCGGCCACACAGTGAGCACCCGAGAGAGAGAGAGAGAGAGAGAAACGGGACCAACCAAAGCACAGGGAGCCATCCTATCGGGGACGGGCCGCGCCGAGTGGTGCCAGGTCGCTGGGGCGCTTCCCTCTTCGTCTTGTCGTGTGGGATGCCCGAGTGGTGCCAAAGCCTGACTCACAGGGTCGAAACCTGCCTCCTGTCCACTTGCCTTTCCTTCTTCGTGACCCTATTCGAGGGTCACGCTAGTTCGTTATGTGGCGGAAGCACCCGCGTGATCATTCCCCAATGTGTGCTTGCACTGAAGGGGTCCTCGCGGATGTTGCTAGAGTTGGCGACAGTACCTCGCCGATGTTGGTGGCACGCTGGGTTCCCGGGTTCCCAGTTCCAGGTTCCCGGGTTCCCGGGTTCCTGGTCATTGGTTCCGAACCGATGGTTCACTACCGATCTCACTGTCGAGTTCATTACGGATCTCATGCCCCAATCAGTGCTTGCACTGAAGGGGTCCTCGCGGATGTTCCCCAATCATTGCTTGCACTGAAGGGGTCCTAGCGGATGTTGAAGGATTTGGCAAAACTGCCCCGCCGTTTTTGGTCGCACGCTGGGTTCCCGGGTTCCCGGTTCCCGGGCCGATTTCGGTGGGCGGCGAGCTTCCCAGGTTCCCGGGTTCCTGGTCGATCTTCTTATCGATCGGTTTCAACATCGATCTCATATCCCACCTCTCTACTCTCTATCGATCTCACCGATCTCACAATCGATCTCGCAAGCGATTTTACTAGAGATCGCACGAGCGATCTCGCGATCGATCTCCCTATCGATCTCATTGAATCAACTTCACTCTCGGTCTCACGATCGACCTTGTACTCGTCCTCTATCGATTCCACTATCGACTCATTATCGATCTCGCAATGGACCTGAATATCCATATGACTAATTTTCAAATCAAACACTGATTGGGGTTTTCTCAGGTGTAATTGTTTCTTTGTGTTGCCTTTGTGTGGTTGGTGACGCTGGGGAGGATGCCGAGAAAGATGATGGGGAGGACGAGATCAAGGAGAAGGTGAACCAGCACAGATGAGGAGAAGGATGAGGGTAAGCATGAGAAAGGCGGGGGAGGACACAAGAGGCAACCAACAGGTGAGACACATACGGTGATTCTTCGTTTTCACGTGCCGGGGACAGCGGCCTAGCGCGTCACTGGCCCAGCACGCAATCCTCAAGTCCACTTTTGGTTTGGTGGTGCCAGCACGCTGCTGGTCACGGGGCGTGCTGTTGGCCGCCTACTACTTGACACAGATGGTCTTGACATTTGTGAACTCCATCATGCCAAAGACAGAGCACTCACGACCAATGCCAGAATTCTTGACCCCACCGAACGGCAACGACGGGTCAGACCGCACGAAGTCGTTGACGAAGCACATGCCAGCCTCCATGTCCTGGGCCGCGATCCGCTCGCCCTCTGCCACGTCCCTGGTGAACACCGCTGCGCCGAGGCCGAACTCCGACTGGTTGGCGAGGCGCACTGCATCGCCGTCGTCCTCGGCCTCCGTGATGGCGATCACCGGCCCGAAGATCTCCTCCTCGAACGCGGGCATGCCGGGACGGACGTCCGTCAGGACGGTCGGCGCCAAGAATGCGCTGCCGCAGTCGCCCTCCGGGGCCGCAGTGTCTACTCCACCCGCCATCAGCCTGGCGCCGGCCGCCTGCGTGGCGGTCACGAGGTCGGCCACCTGTCGGGGAGACGTGAGACTTGGACTCGGGGGGATCTATTTGGCCTGACGGAGCCGACAGGAAAATGTCGAGGCCCAATCTGAAATTTGACGCGAGCTCCCGCTGCAAACAGTCCACGAAAACTGGACCGTCAAATTCAGGACAGGCCCGTCAAAAAGCGTTGGCAAAGCCGAGTTCAGGCGAACTCGAGTCTTACGTTTCCCCGAACCTGATTGCGGGCTGTGGCGTGCACCATGGGGCCGAAGTCCACGCCATACTTCTTGGTGGCGAGCTCGTCCAGGACCTTCTTCTCGAACTCGGCTTTGACACTCTTTTCTACCAACACCCTCTTCGGGGCTATGCATACCTGGCCAGTGTTCAACATCCGCCCTGTGACCACGGCACGAGCGGCGGCATCGAGATCCGCGTCGGCGAGCACAGCGTAGCCGTCAGAGCCGCCCAGCTCTATCACAGCCTTCTTCAGCAGCGAGCCCGCCTTTGCAGCGACGATCCGGCCGACCGCCGTAGAGCCCGTGAAGGCGACGCCTCTAATCGCGTCCTCATCCAAGACCTTGCCCGTGGCCTCTCCGTCGATCAACAGGGCGCGGAACAAGCCTGCGGGCAGGCCCGGCACCGCACCGAACAGTTCCTCCAGCATCAGCGAGCTGCCGAAACAGTTTGGCGCAAGCTTCAGCACAACGGAGTTGCCGGCCATGAGGGTCGGGACCGCCATGCGGACCACCTGCCAGAACGGGAAGTTCCAGGGCATCACCGACAAGATCACCCCCAACGGCTGGTAGGTGACATACGACCTCTTGAAGCCCGGCAGGGGCGGGCACTCGGTGTCCTGCAAGAACTTGGCGCCGTGCTCCGCGTACCAATCCACCAAGTACGCACACTTCATGACTTCTGCCTTGGCCTGTGGCACCGGTTTGCCCATCTCCCTATTGATGAGCACCGCGGCCTCCTCTGCCCGGGCCCGCAGCATGCCTGCAAGGGCCGCGACCTTCTCTACCCGCTCGGCGGGGGAGACTCGTCGCCAGTGGCGGTACGCAGCGTCGGCCGAGGCCACGATGCTGCGCACCTCCTCCAAAGGCCGCGCTGACGGCGTGCTTGGTTAACGGTGCGATTGGGAATATTGTTTTTTGTGACACCGAGCTCACGCAAAACAAAATGTAAAAAATCACGAAACACCGTTGCCCACATTCCAGAAAGCTGCGAATGCATCGAACGAAGACGACACAGCGAGTTGCAGGAGCACGCGAACCACGCGTTCTTACAATTGGTTTGGCCACGAACCACGCCTTCCTACAATTTGTTTTCCTACTTCGCCGTTAGCTAACACACCGTTAGCGCGTCTAAGGTCCTCCTGCCCGTGCAGCGTGTACTCCTGGAAGACCTTCCCGCTCCTCGGGTCCACCTGTGGCATAGTGCCAAAAGCACGACTCGCACCTGTGATCGCCACATTCCTCGGCGGTCGCCGTATCAACATGGGCCCTCGCGCTGGGCAGGCGAGTCGCCGAACAATGCGTTGAGTGAAGGCTCGGGCCAGGCTGCGGACGCACCCGCCTGTGCGTAAATGGAATCAGCGAGTCAAACCAGGACTTCCGACCAGCGTCGGGTCGGACGAAATGGAAGGGAGCAGAAAAGGAGGGGAGGGGAGGTTAGCGAGCCAACCTACCTACAGCGGAGGCTAGTCCACAAGACACCTTCCGCAAGAAACTCAACACTGAGACACCAGGGCGTCCATTGGTTTCTGGTGTGGGAAGGCCACGCTTTCCATCGCAAACCCGTCCAAACCCAAGAACGCCAGGGCACCCTGGAGGCACGCAGGGTGTCTCTTGGCATGGGGGTCTCCACTGTGGCTGATTCTCTCGGCGCCTGCCGGCGCCAGTGTGTCGAGGAAAGCGCCCGGCGGTGGAGCTGAAGCCAGTTGCATGATGCAGCACATGTCGTAACACCCCCGTTCCCCTGTCCAAGGCCACGCTAACGGCGACGTTACTTAATGGTGTTGTGGGAAGCCGCGTTGTAGGGAATCGCGAACTACACTTTCCTAGATTTCCAATATGCGGATGTATCGAACGAAAACGACACAGCGAATTGCAGGAAAGCGCGAATCGCGCGTTTCAACAATACCGAAACCTACATCGCCGCTACCTGCATCGCCGTTAGCGTGTCTACGGCCTATCCCCCCGATTCGCCTGACCCGACTGCACATCAGACAAACTGCAATGCGAACCAAAGAGAGAAACCGTGCGCAAACGCGGCGCTGGTGGGCGACCGCGCACACAGCGAGGAAACGCGACCGAGGGATGTGCGCGATTTCACTGAACCCGCCAACGCATCACTTCGGATGCAAGGCACTTCAATGATAGGATTCGCAAACCAACACAACACGGACTCAGAAAACACAAAAACGTAGGAAACAGCGCGTCCTGTTGTTGTGCCATCCCTCGCAAAGCCTGGATGAGGTGCAGCGTTCGACAGGGCGCTGCGCTTGCAGCTGGGCGGTCGCCCTCTCAGCCTGGGCTCTTGCGCACATCAGGCCTACGGCCTGGCTGCCAGTGTTGGAGTGGCCGGTCAATGCCAACACACATCAATCTGGATCTAATGCCGCTCAGGGGTACATAGCTGGGCCATGCTCGATGCGCGCCATTTGAAGATGAAAACCTGGGCACGTTCGAAATATTCACACATGCAACGAAGCAAACACATACCAGGCAATGAGGATTGCTGTGACGGGCATGGCAGGTATTGCAATCATGAAAGCGACCAGCCTTGTAGGACTCGGCTGCCACGTGACTTCTTTTTCAACCCCAGAGTGCATAACGAGGGCTTGCATCTGTGTCCGACGAGCAAGCGGGGGTATTATGACTTGACGTTGTGCAAGCCTCAGCGTTGCAAACAGAGCAGGCTTAGAACTCCCCGACTCCCTATGACTTTCCAGCCTCCTTGATCCCGTCCAACCCAGTCTCTCCCTCCCCCTCTCTCCTCCAACCGCCCCCCCCCCTCGCTCTTGCCACCTCCCCTCTCCGTCATCCATCCCTGCACCCTCAAGCTTCACCGGTGTAAAATTTTGGCCTCTTGGGCTCGGAATGCACTTGAAACCCTCTTGGGGCCGTGCTGAGGCCTCTTGGGTGCTCCTCCTCCTCCTCCTCCTCCTCCTCCACTCTTCCTCATCCTCCTCCACTCTTCCTCCTCCACTCTTCCTCCTCCTCCTCCACTCTTCCTCCTCCTCCTCCTCCTCCTCCTCCTCCTCCTCCTCCTCCTCCTCCTCTTTGTGCCAGGGACTCGCGTGCGGTTGCCGCGCAGCGCAGCTGCGTGCCCCCATCTGCACCGCGCTGCGCGACGGCCTGCGGGTGGCGATCGGCGGGCCCTGTGCGCGTGGCCGGGAGGCTCGCCCCGGGGTGCCACTCCAGAGCGCTCGCCGGGCCAGGCAGTGCCACGGGCTGGTGGCGATCTGGCCAGCCGTCGTTGGCACCGAGGCCAGAGGAGCAGGAGGAGGAGGAGGAGGAGGAGGAGGAGGAGGAGGAGGCGGAGAAGGAGGAGGAGGAGGAGGAGGAGGGGGAGGGGGAGGAGGAGGAGGAGGAGGAGGAGGAGGAGGAGGAGGTCGGCGTCGCCGGACCTGGTCCCGCTCGGGGCATATGCTCCAGCCTGGGGTGCGCCCTGGTGCTGTCGCAGTGGATCGTGAACAGCACCATCATGACGTCACCATCGGCGTTATATTATGTTGCGGTTGGATTTCGTATCGCCACCATCTCATGATCAACCTGGTTTCCAAGATCACTCTCAGCGTCGTCTACATCCGCCAACGCAGCTGCATTTGGAAACTGCACATCTTGGGCGAAACCCTCCGCGGAACGGACATGGTGCTGAGACAGTCCAGCCTGCTTCTCTTCACGCTCCTCCTCGCCATCGATACTGCCAGAAGATGCCACGTGCAAGAGCCAAAGCCATACGATAATGTTCAGGCTTACTGGAGTCAGAGCCTCCCCACTCGCGGGCTGCTTCGAAACGACGGGCAGCCCGGCAAGTCGAGAGCGCTGCTGCTGAAGGATGCCGCTCCCACAAACCTGAGCCATATGACTCTGGTCAAGCCCAAACGCACCAGCGCCGCCTCGTTCGTAGGCTGCTTCGCTGCGGCGATATACCAATACAAGTCCCTGATCCAAAGGTCGACAGTGTAAGGCGATCTGTGCCCGTCAAGATCGGAGGATAACAGTTTGGACAGACATTTGTCCCTGCGTCCGTGCCCGCCTTGGCTGGACGCTGTTGAGGGCGATTCAGAGGCAGTCTGCTCCGAATGATTGCCGACCTATTCCAGACTCGGTTTCCGAGGTAGCCGTGCAGGCATGTGCGCTTGCTGTTCGGGCGCCCTTCGCCCCGAACATCGCTTCTGTCGTCTCGGCCACCTTGAGCTTCTCCGCCCATCCAGCTTGCAGAGAGGCATGACGCCTCTATGTGTCGAGACCTTTCTGCTTCTTGGGCCGCCTCGGCCTCGACAGAGTACAGCTTCAGAGGCGCCCCTCTCAACGGGGGCCCAGCCGCCCAAACCTCGACGCTCGACCTTTCTGTGCCGACTCTCTGGCGCTCCCTCCCCGCGGAGCAGCTCGCCCGTGCGTGCCTCCGGCCTCCTCGGCTGTCCCTGCCGCCCAGCACCTGGGCCCACGGAGCACGCCGAGCCCGCGTGCCGGGAGCTCTGGCGGCAGCGCTCCGCCTCCAACCCTTCGCTCCCGCTGTCTGTGCTTCCTGCGCGCAGATGTCAGGCGCTGGACGGTTTCCCCCGGGGCCGTAGGCGACCCGAGAAGGGGAGGGCGAGGAGGGGAAGGAGGGGGAGGAGGGGGAGGAGGAGGAGGAGGGGGAGGAGGAGGAGGAGGAGGAGGAGGAGGAGGAGGAGGAGGAGGAGGAGGAGGGAGGAGGAGGGAGGGAGGAGAACGGGTCGCCTAAGCTCTTCGGAGAAACCCTCCATCAGGCGCTGGCATCACTGGTCTGTCTGGAAACACCTCCTGCGGTCTGCCCTGTCGACCGCCGGAGCGCGAGTCATGCAAAACCGGCCGTAGCTGTAGTAGAAGAACAATTCGCTGGCCCAGCGGGCCAGAGGCGTGCTATAAAACAAGGCCAGGATCGGGATAAATCGCTCCAGAGCGTTCCGGAGCGCTCTCAGAGCGTTCCGGAACGCTCTGGAGCGGCCGCGGCGCCCAATATATTCTCCAAACCCGCCGATTCTCAGAGGTTTCGAGTTATCCCGACCCGATGTTGTCCCGATCTTCGAGTCGTTTTATGCTAAGATCTCCGGTAACAGGTTGACAGTCTTGCTAGTTCGCGCGCGCGTGCCGGCCCCTGGGGACCCCTGGGCGAAAAGTGCCCCGGGCGGTGCCCGGGCGATGCCCGAGAGCGCGCCAGGAGCGCACCAGGAGGGCGCCGGGACGCCCCCTGCGCGGCCCACGAGACCGAGTCGCCGAAACATCGTTATGAGACGCTCACGACGGGTTATGGCACCAGAGGCCGCGAAAAAAAAACAAGAGAGCCCCAAGAGGCTCACCAAGAGGGCAGCGACGAGCAGACACCGTCCCGGTTCCTTCGGACGACGTGCACGTTTCGCATGTGCGACGTTTGGGGGTTCACAGCGTCCAGAACTGCCCCGGAGGCCTAGTCGGCCCAACACGCCCCCAGTATAGGCCCAAGAGAGTCTAAGAGGGCCCCAAAACGGTTCAAGATGGCACCAAGAGGCGCCCAAGACGGCCCAAGAGGACCCCAAAACGGCCCCAAGAGGGGCGCAAGAAAGGGGCCAGGAACCGAAAAGTCCAGCCTTCAGCCCCGAAAGGCCCCAAGGAGGCCCCAAGGGGCTCTCAAGAGGCGCCAAGGGGCCCCAGGGGGCCCCCAGGCGGGATGGGCCGAAGGCCACTAGATACTCAACAACCGCACCCAGCAGGACCGCATTGACAACGATGACTCGGGCAATTGGCAGCGCTCCAAGTGACAATCGTCGAACGATCGGTCCGAGACACCCACGATGGCTTCCAGACGGCCCACGACGCGCACAAGACCCCCGAAGAGGCCACCTGCGGCATGGATGTGTGTGCCCGAGAGCGTATCTGCGTGTGCCCACCCCCTGGGGGACAGAGCCGGCACTACGAGTCGGGATGCCCCCCCGGAGACGCGTGCGCCGCGCACAGTGAGGTTACGGGTAGAGAGATGCGGGCGTCGCCACCGGCATGGCCTGCGACATCTTCATGACACCAAGAGGCCTTCCAGGAGAGCCCCAAGAGGCACACCCCGACAAACGACAGCGGTGAGGCAATATGGGCCAGCGGAATGAGCGAAGCGATTCAATAAGCAGCAACCTCCCTCTCGTCATCCCCCGTCCCTCCCTCCCTTGCCCCTCGCTCCTCCCAGGCTTGCCTCCTTTGGGCTCTCTCTCACGAACACTTGTGTTACACCATCTGGCATCCTTCCCAGGCGTCTTGCCGCATCGTCTCGTCATGCCTCATCGCGTGTGCGCTATTTCACACGGATCAAATGTGGACCCATCCTCTCCCAAGCATATGTTCTCAACCATCCTATTGTGTTGGGCCCTCGTTTTGAAGAGACAGCGCCCCGCGTCACTCTCTCCTTCCTCCTCCCTCCTCCCTCCTCCGATCC